CAATGCGTGTAGATTCAAATATGTATCAGAGTAATAAAAGCATATTATTTATCACTATCAACATATTAATAACGTGTAATGCTCAATAAATGAAGAATTTTTAGGGCCAGTGGCGTCACCTTAACCTCAATCTACCTGTGCATTAACTCTCAAACATACACAATTATCAAAATATAGCTTCCAATGGATAGATTTCGAGTAAACTAGAAGATTAAGAGTATTTTCAACCGATTCGAGTATGAATATGGCAATAAATCTGGTTATGAAAGTTGGTGCACAGGTAAAAAGTGAGGTTACGCGACGCCACTGCTTAGGGCCCATTAAAATTTTACGTAATGCAACAAATTGCTTGCTTTTAAATACTATCCACCCTTACACGAAACGAAAATCAATTATTTTATCCATGTGTTTCATCTTATACATTCCATAAGACAAACCACATAGGTCCTCTAAGAATGCATAAAAGAGCGGTTCCACGAACAAGTGGGAAATTTTTCCAGTTTTTATTTTTTGTATTTTTTGATTTGCATGAAACCTTGCATACAAGTTTTTGGGGAAGAAAAACGCCGTTTTGCATACTTGGTTCGCCAATTTGAATCTAGCCTTACTTATGAGAAGGGTCTATGAAAAATGCACATGATATCTTCAAAAAATTGTATCTCGGAAACGGTTTGTCCGATTGGTTTGGTGTCTTGGGCGAAGTTTTAGACAATTGTTGGTGTTATATGGAGAAAATATGCACGGTAAAAAAAAAAGTTTGGTATTTGTGTTTTGAACTAAAATATAAATTTTCCCTTTAAAGTGACATGTCAATAATTTTTTTATTATCCTTATGTTATAGCTGACTGAAAATGCTATCTAGTGCATAGTAGGTTGTTCTGGAAAAAAATAGGTTACAATGAAAAAAAAATGTTTTTTAAAAAAATACAATTTTCAAAAAAGCTTATAAGAAAAGTCAAAAAAGTTTGTCACCCTAATTTTATGAAAGTACATCAAATTTGCAAACAAAAAGTACTTCGGTAACATTTTTCTAAGATGCACCGTTTAGAAGATATTACTGATTTAATATTGTTTTTTTTTGATAACTTAATAAGTTTTGGCCCTTTTCGGATGTACTCCGTGTTTTTCCAGTTTCAAAAGTATTTTTTTTTCGGAAAGATTGGAAAATTTTGAGTTAAAATGACACTGACAGCTTAAAGATTCGAGTGAAATTCTCTGCCTTAAAAGTATTTTGAAAAACAAGTTACAAAATCCCACTATCAGGAACAATGATTTCTTCAAATGATTTTTGGTGCGTTGTGCTGAAAACGTGCTAACAAGTATTAGATACAGGTAATCAGATACCAGTTAGCTGTACTACGTACAGTTGGTGATTGTAAACATGGTCTTTGTTGGAACTAGTCCACCATGGCCACGCTGGCCATAACGAGGCTAGCTCCGTCGTTGACCGTTCCTTAAATAATAAATAAAAAGAACGCAGTAGTCACCTTCCATCAAACTAGAGGGCTGCCGACTGATACCTCAATCAACAACCGCCGCACTCTTTATTCATTCCAGGTATATACAATTTACAATCTTCTTCAATAACAATATACCTACGCCAGCAAATCTACCTCGCTCCAACTCTCCAAACTCGTACCTGTAGGTTCGACGATACCTGAGCGTTCAACTCTACCTATCTTCCAACAGTCTTTACCCAGCATTCTATGATTTCTACCCGTGAGCTGTATAATAATGTCTGACTCGGTTCTGAATTCATCCAGTATCTACTAGGGAAAACCAAACAGTAAATGCAGAAAGGTTGCTAGTAGCATAGTGATTATAGTAATTTCAGCTCATAATCCTGTGTTTTTGAACGAGATCCAGTGTTGTTTGATAACATAATAATTGTAAAGGAAAGTGTAACACGTTTTGGTACAAAGGTAAGTTTTAAATACACATTTTAATTATATGTTTTGTGATATTTTCGTACAAAACTAACAATTGGAAAATATTTTCTATGTTACAGATTACAAAATGAGTAAAATAAGATGTATTCGCGCATTCAAGGACATTCAGTGTTCGAAAGAGCTGCGATATCTCACGGATGGTATCATCCAAAAACTAAAATCAATTGGATTTTCCAAGGTATCCACACTGAACACCAAGGATTTTCGTGTTTGTTCGTCTTGCCGTCTACATATTGATTCAAGAGCTCACCTCACCCAAAACGAGGAACAAAGCGTAGCCGGCGGCTCAAGGATGCCAACTGTTCAGACCATACCTGATGTACCTGATTCGCAAAGCTATGAAAGTTTGGTCACGATACCATCAGAGTCAACGCTAAGCACAATTTAATCAAATGAAGACTTCACGATGCCTGTAGACGTCGAAATATTCAACCGAGGAATAGCAGCTATTCGTGTTTCGCCTATAGATTTAGGTAAGGTTAAAAATGTTCACTATCCTGAAAAAAAGTGCACTGAAATCGTCGAAGGTGTACGAAGAAATCTTTTTAAATTAGACGCTAAAACAGAAAAAGCAAACGAGTTTGATGAAGTCATAGAAAATATGAAAATTAAATTTTTAAATTCAGCCACAAGGTAAGAAAAACTATCAATTTTATCATTGTTGCCAAAATCATGGTCAGTACAAAAAATTGTAGACGAATTTAAAACCAGTAGAAATATGGCATCAGATGCAAGAAAGGAAAGAGAGGAACTCTAAAATTCCACTCATTTCTTCGTCTATCAGAAAATACAAAAGGCAAAGCTTTATTCAAACTGTCCTGACAATGATGCCAAAATATTCAATATTGTTAAGAAAGTTGTGTAAACAATAATTTTATAAAAATACAGGAATAAAAATAAACTGATGATATCCAACATATAATGTTATGTTTTATTGCGCACAATCACCATCCCTGAAAAATAAGCTTAATTCGCTCTTTTGAATCTTGCTAATTGAGGAGCTTACATTTGCAGTTCTCAAAAAGGTGTATCTCGAAATCGAGTTGTCTCATCGGTTTGATGTCTGTGGCGATGTTCGGCAATAGAGAGAAAATATGCACAGTATAAACACATCCAGTTTAAATGGATTAAACTGTTAGGCGATATGCAAGAGTTGAATGCACATTTTCAGCACAACGCACCAAAAATCACTTGAAGAAATCATTGTTCCTGATAGTGGGATTTTGTAACTTGTTTTTCAAAATACTTTTAAGGCAGAGAATTTCACTCGAATCTTTAACCTGTCAGTGTCATTTTAACTCAAAATTTTCCAATCTTTCCGAAAAAAAATACTTTTGAAACTGGAAAAACACGGAGTACATCCGAAAAGGGCCAAAACTTATTAAGTTATCAAAAAAAAAAACAATATTAAATCAGTAATATCTTCTAAACGGTGCATCTTAGAAAAATGTTACCGAAGTACTTTTTGTTTGCAAATTTGATGTACTTTCATAAAATTAGGGTGACAAACTTTTTTGACTTTTCTTAATAGCTTTTTTGAAAATTGTATTTTTTTTAAAAACAATTTTTTTTTCATCGTAACCTATTTTTCTCCAGAACAACCTACTGTGCACTAGATAGCATTTTCAGTCAGCTATAACATAAGGATAATAAAAAAATTATTGACATGTCACTTTAAAGGGAAAATTTATATTTTAGTTCAAAACACAAATACCAAACTTTTTTTTACCGTGCATATTTTCTCCATATAACACCAACAATTGTCTAAAACTTCGCCCAAGACACCAAACCAATCGGACAAACCGTTTCCGAGATACAATTTTTTGAAGATATCATGTGCATTTTTCATAGGCCCTTCTCATAAGTAAGGCTAGATTCAAAATGGCGAACCAAGTATGCAAAACGGCGTTTTTCTTCCCCAAAAACTTGTATGCAAGGTTTCATGCAAATCAAAAAAGATGAAAATTACTCGTTGCTTTAATGATATGGAACCGCTCAAAAGATATGTGTGACCGCTTTCGGAGATTTCTATCCGTGTACATAACGTACTTTTCTGTGCTTAATTGAAGGGTTGTAACACTTTGCCATACAACTCCACCCCCTGCCATTTTAACAAGCACTTGAAATACTTTCTAAACAAATTCCGCATGCACGGCCAATGAGAACGCTCAAAATTGAGTAAGAGTTACTCATATTTGAGTTAACGGTACTCAAATTCGCGAAAACGTAGGTGACTCATAGAATGAGTAAATTTTCCGATGCTTTTCCGAGGCAAACTTCTCGAATATGAGGAAAACTGATTGTGGTTTTAGTCTGTCTACATTCGAGAAGTTGTCCCCAGGAAAGTGTCGGAAAAGTTTACTCTTACTATGAGTAACCTACGTTTTAGCGATTTTGAGTAATCTGAACTCAAATGTGGGTAGCATTTTTTGTCCATGTGCGATTGGTTTGGATAGTATTTTTTTTCTAAATCAATAAAAATAATGTAACGCCGACCAACGCCGCCGCCGAAGGCAGAAAACAATATATCACGCCGCCGCCGAAAATATTTTGTTCGGCGAACAGGTCTACTAGGTACTAAATTCTGAAATCTGTCAAAGGGAAATCACTGTTTTCCCACGACGGAAACGCCTAGTATTCTTGCGATGCGCGTGCACAGAACGCACGAAATCTTTAAAATAAAGCAATAGTTAGTCATTTTTTTTGGCTCAACCGGTAGATACGAGAATTGATTGCAAGAGGTTTCTCGGTAAAATGTTCTGATTGTTATTATTCAGATGGAGAATTTCTTCTGCATTTTTCTAGCGTCTTGAACAAAGCCTCATCAACCTATCCTGTTGATCTTGACGTTTCGTGATATTAATTCATGGCGAGGAAGGATTTTCGTTTCGAGCTGCAACTACTGGGTGGATCCCCGTTCTTACATATGTGTGAGTCAATCTTTCGCCGTTGAAGTTGTGCGAATGACTACGTCATTCCAACTCTACGCTTTGCTATCTTTCCGTAGATCTAAAATCATCCGAAATTGAGCGTGGCCACCACCTTTCACAGAGTCCAATCTCTCATCATCATCATCATCATCAACACCAACAACAACAACAAAGCGGTATTGGTGCCACGCGAAATCCATGCGATCGCGAGACCCAGTTAACCTTGAAAAGCTCACTCGGGACGCAAGTTGCTAGAACGATCGCGGCACGGACGGAAGAGGAGCAGCGAAGAAATGCTTTGCCCGTGCATCCGCAGCATAACAACAACCAACAGAGCCATTCTGGAAGGCGTGCTTATAGCGTCGCTCGTGTGCTGCATGCGATGGTAATGGTAATGGTGATGGTAGCAGCAAGTAGTAACAGTTCGCCTCTGTCCGTCAGCGAAAGGAACATCGCTGCATAAACGAAACGAAAATCTCGGATCAGCTTCGGTCTTCGTTTGGGCTGTTTTCGGCCATTCTAGAGCCGCGATTCCGCATATGAAATTAACTCATCGTCGGCTATACATCCAAAAGAGGCACCTTGTTCAAGACCAGCAACAGGAGGAAGTTCCGTAGCTTTAGCTTTTTCTGATTGGAATTCAGCGCAGTAGCAAAAACAGAAAAAGGAATGTGTTTACTTTGCTTCTTCTATGTTTTCCTAGTTCTGAGTGCTCGTTCATTCTGGCTTGAGGCGGATGAATGGATTGCAGGAATCGATGGTTCACTGATTGGGATTGCGACGCTTCCTCATTCTTGGTAAATTGCTTGATGCAATGTACCCGTCGTCGTGGTGTGATCTTTAAAATCAGTTTCAACCAGAATACCTGAAAACACAAATATACGATTAGGTTTCTTCAACATTTTGCACCGAATTCCATATCTGAGGTCACCACACGCATAATATGCAAAGCGCGTCCAGCACCACCTTCGCATTCGCATACGTCATTCAATCATCGGCAAGCTTACGGTTTTACTACCCACATTCACCTTGTGGGCATCTACCATGTGGCACGAGTTGCAATTTGCATACACAAAGAGCTAGCGGAGTCCGAACAGTGACGACGTGGTGCATCGCCGTGTGATTTCTCAAGGACTCCACCTCCCACTCCACCCCCTGCAGTGAGCTCGCAACATCGTCAACACCATTATAGTTATCAACAGCGTTCTGCTAGCTATAAAATCATATCTATATCTACTTCCGCATACAGGTACCTAACTTCCCTCGCTTGACTTGAGAAGGAGCGGGGGGAAATAAATGGGTCAAGGATGTCGCCGACAATTGCGCGCTCATCTCGTTACGTTAGGGACGATGTGGGTCACTCTCGAGGGGTTTATGCAACTTTGATAGGTAGGTAATTAACCATTTAGTCAAGCTTTTGCATTCATTTTCCATCAGATGTCACTGCTGTTGTTTGCGGTGACATTTATCGGAAGTTATGCGAAATTTGTTTACCGTTAGCTGGTTACAGAGGACAGTGCAGTCAAAAAACCTAGAAATCCCTTTAAGTGACTACAAAATAGAGTGCCTGACACTGCAAAACATGTTTGGTACCCTGGTACATCCGAAGTCCCTCCTATTTTGCATACCCAGCACAAAAAATACTTGTTAAGCCCCGCCCCTAATAAAAAAACGAGAACTTTTCAATCGGGTTACAAAGCGGGATATGATTCTCCAAGTTCGTGCAATTCTTCCACAATCGTAAAAGTGCGAACTATAGTCGACTCATATTTAGAAACCAAAAACAGTACGATGAAAGCGAGGTTGTATAAGCGTTCTTAAGGGGAAATTTACCGCCCCAAAAATAAAAAAATATTTTCGGTACGTTTTTATTTTTCTAAAAATATTGGGAAAAATTATCAAAAATCCAAGAAAATCAGTTTCTTCCTTAGATTTTTGTCAAAAATTACATGCAAAAAAATTTTTTCTATCGCATCATGAAAAAAAATTGGACTCTCAGAAAAACCGAAAAGTTGATGTTTTGTGGTTTTTTGAGTCCAACTTTATGCCATAATGACTTATAAAACATGTTTTTGCACGTGAATTTTCTTTAAAAAATTAGAAAAAATTTGATTTTTTTAGATTTTTGATACTTTTTTTCAATATTTTTAGAAAAATCAAAACGTAATTATTTTTTTCGAAGCGGTGAACTTCCCCTTAAGAGGAAATTTACCGCCCCAAAAATAAAAAAATAAATTTTTGGCACGTTTTTATTTTTCTAAAAATATTTGGGAAAATTTTTCAAAAATCCAAGAAAATCAGTTTTTTCCTTAGATTTTTGACAAAAATTACATGTAAACATATTTTTTCTATCTCATCATGAAAATAGTTGGACTCTCAGTAAAACCGAAAAGTCGATGTTTTGTGGTTTTTTGAGTCCAACTTTATGCCATGATGATTTTAAAACATATTTTTTTTACCTGAATTTTCTTTAGAAAATTAGAAAAAATGTGATTTATTTAGATTTTTGATATATTTTTCCAAAATTTTTAGAAAAATCGAAACGTTATTATTTTTTTGGAGCGGGAAGCCGTTAATATCTTTGGTGTAACTCAACAGTCCAGAACCGAGAAAAGTTTCATACTGTCAACTTTACCATCCAAGATTTCGCAAGTCACACCAGGGTAAATGTCTTAGAACAATTCTGATAAATCTACGCTGCACTCTTTCGATCTTCAAATGCCAGATTGATATGGAAACCCTACCCAGAAATCATTTTCCGAAATTGGCCGCACAAATGAGCAGTATAGAGCCAAAAGGTGCTCACTCTACACACTTATTTAGCGCCAACAATTTTCTCAGTGTGCCGTGTTGTGCCGAGTGTTCCAGTCATCTGACTGACTTTGTTTGCGAATAATTGTATGTTTGGCAACCCGGTATTTTGAGAGTTCAAATGTTTTGTTTTGCTTGCTGCAATTTTTACAAAACCAAAAGCGACGTATACGAATATTGGGAGTACACCGATCGATACTGAGACATGCAAGTGGAAAGAATTTGTTATGCAGATTGTGTCCAACACCGGTAGAGAATACTGTTGATTAGATTTTTCGGGAATCCATGGTGGGAATCCATCAGCATCGAACAGTGGTGGTAACCAATCAGCCGAGGGCAATGAAGTACTTGAGCAGGTCAGTTCCGCCGTCGCTGGCAAATCACTCAACCTGGTCTCTGAACCAAACGAATCCAGTGGCCTATTCAGTTCGATCATCGTCAGTTCCGTGCCGGAAGATCTGCTCTACCTGGAAAGCAACAGCGAGAACAACCGAAATCAACCTTTCCAATACGGCCAGTTTCAATGCGTTGAAATCGGTCGCCACGTATACGGTAAAGAAAACTCTTACCAAACCTAACACCCGTTAACGAATGCTTGAATTTGCTCAGTGGCAACAACAATATAGCTGAGAGTGATCCAAAGAAAAAACTCTACTCATCGGAGGACATCAATTCAGCCTTGATGAAGAACTCCTCCAGTAGGAACTATTCGACTCCGCTGAGTGCTACTCCGACGGTCACAACTCCCCGGTACGTCAAACTGTACTAACTGTCGAAGAAACGATATTCAGACACCACCCAGATCGATATATTCGGATGGGAAGTACCGCGGGGAAGCGATTCACTACGATGGCAACGTGATCTGCATACTCCATTTCGAATCAGAAACTTCCCTGCGGGAGGAAGGTCTACTACATACGGGTAAGCCGGGATCCGGATTCATCTTACAACAACTTGCAGGATTTTTATTTTTTATTTTATTTTTATTTAATACATCCATCTGACAATAAGTCTTAATGAACCAGAAGCCATAACAAATACTAAATGTATCTGGAGTTAATAATACGTCTCTGGAATTGAGCAGCAGGTTCCCCAAACTCGAACAACTCTTCAACTGTAGAAAACGTGCGAATCATACTCGTAACAGGTTCATGTTGTCCAAAAGAAGAGCGGTGTGAGTCTTGACGCAATAGGAACGTTGAGCGTAGAAATCAGCTTGGCGCACGAAAGTTCAAGCAAGAGAGTAAGTGGGTAGAGTCAATTTCACCACTTAATAACTTTGCGACGAATGTTGCCTGTTGAATTTGTCGCCGTCGTTGTAACGTGTCCATGCTTAGCAAGCGACATCTCTCAGCATACGGAGGTAAGTTTAGTGGATCTCTCCAAGGAAGTTGTCTTAATGCTCGACGAATGAATGTTTTTTGGATACGTTCTATTCTGATGTTCCAGGAAAGTTGGTAGGGAGTCCAAACACCAGATGCAGTCTCGATAATCGGACGAACGAGTGAACAGTACAGTGCTTTCAAACAGTACGGATCCGAAAAATCTCTTGAGATTCTTGATATAAAACCAAGCTGACGATTAGCCTTAGTGATTACCATTGAACGGTGTAAGTCAAACGTAAGTTTAGGGTCCAGCATTACATCTAGGTCGCTTACTTGTTCTACTCTTTCTAGTACAAATCCATCAATTGAGTAATCGAATACGATTGGCGTTCTTGTGCGATTAAATGTCATGACCACACATTTTGATATACTGACGGAAAGCTTGTTTAAGCGGCACCAATCAACAAATTGGTCTAACATTGCTTGGAGCTGACGGCAATCCTCGACGTTCTTGACAACAATGTATAGTTTGAGATCATCGGCGTATATGAGCACATAACCACTCGGCAAGAGGAGCGTCACATCGTTGAAGAAGATTGTGAACAGCAATGGTCCTAAATTGCTGCCCTGGGGAACACCGGAGGTTGCAGCAAATGGTGATGAAGTGCACGAACCCAGCTTGACACGAAGTGTTCTGTTGGAAAGATATGATTTCAGCCAATCAACCAAACCATCCGAAATTCCCAGGCGAGACATTTTCCGAAGAAGAATACCATGATCGATGCAATCGAATGCCGCTTTCAGATCGGTATAAACGGTATCAACTTGAGCCCTATTTTCCAAGTGATTTATACATGTTGAGGTGAACTCCAGCAAATTTGATGTAACTGAGCGTCCTGGCATAAATCCGTGTTGCGTTGCTGAAATGTAGCTCTTGACATGAAAGAAGATAGCATCGTTCACAATGATCTCGAATAATTTTGAAGCTGCAGATAGACTTGTTATGCCACGATAATTTGTCACGTCACGTTTGTCGCCCTTCTTATGGACAGGGAACATAAAGGAATGTCTCCATATTTCGGAGAAAACTCCTTGGTGCAACGAAGCGGTAAAGATAAAAAATACGGATGAAGGAATATTCGACGATTTTCGCTTGGAGTTCACAAACTTCCAGAAGCTCTTGGGATTTCTACGTAAATTGGTCTGGACACGCAAGACATATGACTTGTATAGGGTTGAATTAAGCTTACGATAGGCGTTGCAAGCGCGATGAAAGTTGCGTTTCGTTTCAGAAGTTCGATGTCGGCGAAGTTTACGCTGCCAGGAA